AGGGAAACCGTTTCAAGTGACCACAAATCACTTGATTTCAGGTTAGTATTGAAGGCTACCACCCTCTCCAATTTGTGTGCGTAACTTGACAAGCGCTGATTTAAATCTGAGTATTTTCAGGACATTTATGAGGCTCTTCCCATCAGAGAAGAGGCAGCAGAAGCTTTAATGGAGTAAGCAATGGCCTCATGGGTTCTGAGGAGAGCTGAGTCGCTTTTTCGATCATTAGGGTTTTTAAGGGTGTCCTCTCCCCCCTTTGGAAGAGCCACCCTTGATGCTAAGCTAGCCATAGAAACATCTACCACTGGAATGTTCAGTAAGCTAATTACCTTGGGAGGAAAAGAGTACATTCTTTAAGCCAGTCCAGAATGTAAATGATTATTGGTAGGATCTGACTATTCCTCTTTTATCTCAGTTTTAAAAATGGAAGGGAAGGGGCCCCTTTATCCTCCTCCTCCTCCTCCTGTTCCTTCTTGGGGATCCCTACGTTAGGGACAAAAAGCTGTAGGATTGTAATGTTTTCTGTAGGAGAGGAGGGAGCTCCTCATGAGAAAAAAGGTGGTTAGTTGGCTTGCTCTGTTGAGGGACCTCATCAGACAGCTGGCCTTCCTCTTCATCTAAATCTGCACCAGAATCCTCGGAGCCTAAGGGGGAATCCCTGTCTTCAGATCTGTAGTCTGGGAAATTTGAATAATTGCTCCTAATGGGGAGTGGACTTGTACAAGCAGTCTTTGTTGGCCAAGAGCAGCTCTGGCCTTTTCCTGTATCTAGAAATCCTGAATTAGCTAATTCTTTTGATGATGTTTGGCTGAAGAGAAAGGGGTAAGGGGGTGAAAGCCCTCGCTCCGCCTTCTATGGGAGGGTAAAGACGCTCTTTTTTCTTCTTTGACTGAAGACAAATTGTTCTAGCTGGAAGCCTGGTGGGACAGCAATGGGCTCTCCCCTCTCCTGGCTTCCCACATGGTGGGGAGGTATTGTCTCCCTTCAACTCACCACTCTGATGGCTGTAGAAGGCTGCATTGAGCAGGTCTGATGGGCTGATACAGACCACCTGGGCTGGTCAGTAGAGGGCACAGTTCTGGCTCCAAAATTTGAGCCAGCTTCTTTGTTATGCCAGCCAGGCACTTTGCAGTCAATGGCTCTCTCCAGGAGCTCAGGGAGACAGCTGGGCAAACGGGTTTGCAGGGTTTTCCTGCTTAGTTGCCTGGGGATCACCTCCCCCAGCTCTCCCTCAGAGGAGGTCCCATGGTCAGAGAACTGCTGCTGACACAGCCATTACTGAAGCATCAGGCAAAAGCAAACTGCCTCAGGGAAGACAAGGCCAGAAGAACAAAGGCTTTTTGTTTGTTTTTAAACAAAGGGAAGAACACACATATGAAAAGGAAAGAACAAAGTGCAACCAAAAGGAGATCCTTAAATGAAAATCTCTCTCAGGCGGAAGCAGGGAAAAAACTGAGGGGTGGGCTCCTCCTCTCCCCAGAGACAGAAAATGCAATCAGTTTCCTGCCTCCAAGGATTTTGGAAAGAGGAACCCAAGCGTATCAGAGTGTCCTCCTTCCCCTCAAAAGAAAACAGGCTAGCCTGGGTATCCAGATAAGGGCAGAAAACCAGCAAAATACTGTACCTCTAAAAGGACGCAAGTCACTGAGCAACAGATGATAAATCAAGTTTGTTGGCCAATACTTAATTCTCTCTTTTAAGAAAAACGTCAAAAGTAGTAACTCATCATAACTCTTTCATTCTAATAATAACATGCAATAGTTCCAACTGCAACTAGCTCTTTTGCATCAGGTGTGAATAGAAAGAAATCACATTTGAAACATTAACCAACCAATATTCTTCATTGTTAAAATTAACTCAAATTATATGCAAAACTGATTATCACATAAAGAAACTGATGTTTACCTTTATGAGCTGCACAAATTCTGTTACAAGTTTCACTTTCTGAGTATTAATTCTTTTTATTTTAACATTTGCTTGTTCAGATTCTTCTTCCAGGTTGATGGCATCTTGTTCCATTTGTCTTAAACTGTAAGAAAGATTTATGGTGAATCTTCTATTGGATCATGATAAAATTCTCTTCAATACTATAGAAGCTAGAAAAGTGGATACTCCTGACAACTAGGAGGAAGCTCCCTTTCAAAGTAAAATCAAAATATACTGTATCAGCCATCTAGAATAACTGAAAAGACTGCAGAGCATTTTCAGTAAAGCCTCTAAGACAGATTGGTCCTAGTACCTTTTGATTACTTGTTTGTATCTTGTTTGACAAGTGGGGTGTGCATTCAGCTTATCTAAGACAGAAAACAACCCAAAAATACCTTACCAGTATTTTTTTAGTAATTCTTCAGCCGGATAGCAGCTGGTGTATTTATCTGGCTATCCAATACAGCTAAACCCAAAAAATCCCTTAAAAAATTGGGATTTTTCGGGGCCACTGGATAGCTGGCTTTAAAGGGGTGTTTAAAAGGATTGCAATTCCTTTAAACAACTTCTGGGTGAAGCCACAGCTAGCAAAAGGCATTTAAAGGGACCATGTTCTCTTTAAATACCTTTTCCCTCCCACTGGAAACAATGAAGGATGAGGGCACCTTCCTCTGGGGCCCATAGAATTGGACCCCCTGGTCCAACTAACAATATAGACATGTTACACCCTAAGTAACCTGTGTAATATTGCTAGAACATTTCTTTACCTACCCCTCTACATTTTTTCTAGAAGCTTTGTAAATTAAATAATTAATGAGTCTGTTCACATTCTGTGTTTACAGGTTATTTATATGCTATGTATCATATAGTGGACATAGAAAAACACAGTTGTTTCACTGGACCAGATAAATCATCATTACCCATAAACATCAAGATGTAGTATGGATGAGGATATATACAATATTTTTAATTCAGATTATTCATATATTTTTCTGATTTTATGTAGATTTTATTAGGATTTAATAAAAGCCTATTAAGTGGTAGGGCCTCCCTTTTGTAGGTTAGAGTGTCTTTTTAGCTGATGTAGGGCTACCAAGTCTCGTTGAATCGCGGCGGGGGATCGTCATTCTTCACAGGAGCTCTGCCGCGGGGGACGGCAACAGGCGTTGCACCGCCATCGCCAGGATGTGACGCTATGCGCAGCTCTGGCAACGGGGCTGTTTGGAGTCCTGTTGCCAGAGCGACGCGTAGCATCACATCCTGGTGACGGCGGTGCGACGGCTCTTGCCGTCCCTCGCAGCGGAGCTCCTGTGAAGAATGACGATCCCCCGCTGCGATTCAACGAGACTTGGCAGCCCTAAGCTGATGCCAGCAGACAAGAAAACAACCTTATTTTGCTGGTACAGCAGAAGATAGGTTTTTCAATAGAGTTATTTGCTTGAAGTATAAAGTTCATGGTTTTAGTTGTTTGGGGTAAAACTCTGCAGTGTCTGGGTCAAAAAGGGCTTTAGTTTCATATCAGAAAAAACACTTTTTTGTTTGGGTATAAAGAATCCTTGAGGTATTATTAAGGTGAGGTTAAATAAACCTCATGTAGGCATACTTTTTTCTGTATTTGACCAATGACTGAATTACTACTCAAATGATGCTCTGTATTTTGTGACCAATTATGAATCCTGAATGTTATCTTCTTAGCTATGTCACTCTGGGTATAAAATTTCATGTACTTCCTTATTGTGCTCAGAAAGCAGTCAATTTTTGATGGGCTAGTTTGGTCTAACTGTTTTCAGGTATTTTAATTGCAATTAAAATCAATGAACATTCCTCCTCATTTTGGCTTCTCTTTTTGGCTGGAAATCTATTTGTACTACAAGATATAATCAGATCACTTATATCATGGTCAAAGTCTATCAGCAGAAAGATCTTCCCCCCTAATTTGTTATACAATGACACTATATAGGTGAAATTACCTCATAGTAAAACTTCTGAGATCTGTTTCTCTGACTAATTTTAGAAAAGTGATACTGTAAATAGTGTGATAATATATAAAATGCATACCTCTCACGTTTCATACTGATTTTTGATTCCAGCTGCTTCCTTTTGTTTTTCTGCTGCAAAAGCTCCTTCTTCTGTTGTTTGAGTTCATTTTCTCTGCATTCCAGAGATTTCAGTTTCTCTGATAGTGTAGTCATTTGAGAATTCAGCAATTCCAAATTCCTATTAATTTGCTAAAGTAAATGCCATTTTAAAAATCCCTGTTTACATCATTTGTCATAATTTTAACTAAGATTTTATTTTCTTTAAATTGCTTATAATTCAGATACTCGAGATGGCTGTAAGAACACTTACTGCTTTAAACCAGTGCATCCTCCTGAATGCTTAAGATCTATGCTAGTTCATTTTCTGTCTTATGTGGAGTTGAGGCCGACCTCCATGAAAAGCAACGCATCACCTCTTGCAGTCCTAGAACTATGGAATGCTCCCCACATAAGACTCATTTTGCCTCCTATTTCACCCTTTGGAAAGCATACTAAAACTTCTTTTTCAGTAAGCCTGCAGAGATTATTTATTGCTTTTATTTTGCTGCATTTCTGCTGGTTCCATTTCTTTTTCTGCTCTTTTGATCTGCTGGCTATTGTCAGTTTTTTGCTTACCCCCATTGTGACTTTTCATTGAAAAGCAATATAAAAAGATGGCAGTTGGCAAACTTAGAGATCTTTGACTAAGGTTTCATTTTGGCTACTACCGATTACAGACATAAAGCTTGTGCAGGCCAGCCACTGGACGCTCTTACATTGTTCTGGTACTTATTCAACACTCCAAGGGGAGCCCTTCCCCTGCAGAGCTCATTAGAGGCCATCTTCCTACCTAACAGTCACGTGCTGTGCAGGGAGGAGCCTCCCTTTCCCTCAGTCTTCCTGAGCCGCCACGAGTGTCATGAATGTAACTGCATCCTATGAATTCACGGCGGGGTAGGAGGGAGGGAATGCATGCCTGCACAAAAGACACATTAATGAACAAGTTTCAGATAAAAGTGCAACACTGTTTTCATGAAAGTAGGATGAGCTTCAGTGCAACAAGTAGTGCAGCATCCCTTCTCGCATTCATGGCCACAGAATAATGCTCAACATAGGTGTCCAATGACGACCATGTCACTGCCCAGCAGATGTCCTCCAAGGGACTGCCTCTCCAGAATGATGCTGACGCCCCTTGCTCCCTTGTAGAATGCGCTCAAAGCTCCAGAGAACATGGTAGATTGGCCTGCTCATAACCCAACAGAACAGCTGAGACTATCTACCTAGAAATGGTCTGTGTTGAGGCTGGCCTCCCCTTTGAGCTACCGGAGTAGCACACGAAAAGGTATGGGGATTGCCAGAAACCTTTTCTTCCATCAAGATAAAACAAAGAAGACCTCTTCACATCTAAGGAACGTAGTGTTTTTTCGTCTTCACATCTAAGGAATGTAGTGTTTTTCCGGTCTCCTAGGTAGGGGATGGAAAATATACTGGAAGGACAATGTCCTGACCAAGGTGGAAACTAGAGACCACTTTAGGTAGAAAACTTAAACTGAGTCTCAGAACTACGTGACTAGTATGGAACTTAATAAATAGATGGTCAGCCCTCAAAGCTGCTGTGACGAACCGCACCTTTTAAAAAGCCTCAAAGTATTGTACAGAGTAAAGGTTAATTCTTCACTGAGCCAGAGAGTCATGATTGACAGGCTGCTCTTAGCAATCTGATTGGACACCATCAGCTGAGCAGATACAGTCTTAAGAGAGCTGGATGCTGAGGAGAGAGAGTCAGAATTCTGCCTTGGCTGAGAGAGTCTGATTTCAGCCTTAGCTGAGAGCAGTTTAACACAGGAGAACTGGGGGAAAGTGGCTAAGCAGTTTGGGAAGTATACGGGGGCTCCCATTCAAACCAAAGTAAAGGGAAAGATCTTCTAGGGAGAGAAGAAGGTTCCCTACCCAGTTGATCAGGGAAAATGGCTCTGAAGAGTACAGAGATCCCTGGACTGGTGTAAATAAAAACTGCCCATAGAGACCTAAAGAGTCAGTCAAAAGCTGGTGTTTCAAGAGAAGGGGTTTGAGTACTGAAAAGGGTGTACCAACCTTCCGGAAAACCAAAAGTGTTTGAGAGATACTAAAGAAAGTGTGCTGGTATGTTGGGGAAAATACTGGAACAAAAGCCTCTCAATATAAGGTTTCAAGAAACTGTGAAAAAGCTTAAGAAACTCTCGTTAGCCTGTACATAAGAACTAAAGTCTGTGCAAAAACTGGTTTTACCTCAAAAAAGTCAACCCCTGAATTCACCTTACCTTTCCCCTCTATGTCAAATAAAATATTTGATTCTTTTTGAAATATAAAAATGCCTCAAGTGCCATTATCAGAGGGCTCCTGACCCTTCCCTCAAGTTCCTGGTCTGTGCCAAAAAAACAAAATACTGAACTGTCAAAGGCTGGGACAGCCAGACTTCTTACCTAAAGAAGAAGACACATTACGTGAGCAGTTCAGTCACAGAGGAGAACAGAAAAACGAAGGGAAAATTTTGCCTCTGAGGGAAGGAAGAGGAGGTCCATCGTAGCTGCCAGCTCCCCCACTTTCCTGGCTGATGTGATTGCCACCAAAAATGTGACCTTGAAAAACAAGAGTCTCAAACTACAAGAGCCCAACGGTTTGAATGGGGCTAACAAGAGTTGGGAGAGAACCATTGACAAGGACCACTGCAGCACTATAGGTGGCCGTGAAGGGGAACAAATTAAACAACTCCTTCAAAAAACTCTTGGATGCTGGCTGAGAAAACAGCACCCTGTCCTGGATCTTGGCACGGTAGGCAGATATAGCAGCTAAATGTACTTTAAGAGAAGAAACCGCCAGACCAGATTCTTTAAGAGACAGTAGATATTCAAATACCAGGGCAATAGAACAATCCTCTGCGTGAGCTCCCTGCCTCCTGGCCCAATTAGAAAAATTGACACATTTATTCATATAAGACCTCCTAGTAGAAAGTCTACATGCATTGAGGAGGAGACTGACTACCTGGTTGGAGAACCCAAATTGGGATCATTCAGCAGCCAAGCTGTCAACTTGAGCCGGTACACCTTGTGGTGGACCACAGGACCCCTTCGAAGTAGGTCTGCAGCTAAGGGAAGGTGTATGTAGAGGCCTTTGGACAATGATAGGAGGATCAGACATTAGATTTGTCTGGGCCAAAAGGGGGTGATCAGCAACTCCAAATTTGCACGTGGCTGTATTATGGGCCTCACTCAAGCAGAAAAGGCAGAGAAGGTGCTCATCTGAATGGGTCATTTTTGTACGGCACTACATACATTTTTAAAATAAAGCCTTCGGTGACATATCCCAAAAGGGAAGAGACCCCAGGGAAGCAAGGAAACTTCAAGAGAAACTCATGATGACCACAGCTGAAGAAAGCACATCCTCACAATGTGGCAGTAAAGAAAAGACTGAGGGAAAGTGGGGGATCCTCCCTGCTGAGTACATGACCATTAAAAGGGAAGACAGCCTTTAATGAGCTCTGCAGGGGAGGGGCTCCCCTTGGAGGGCTGAATATGTACCAGGATAGCTGTAAGGGAGCCTCTGGTGGTTGGCCTGTGCAAGGGACTGCACAGAAAACTGAAGATGAACTAAAACTTGTTTACAGCATTAATAAAAATGCTCAAGAGCATACCTTTGACTTTTCAGATGGTATGCAGTGCACTATTATTGTACAAGCAAAATTTCACATTCTGTAATTTAATTTAAGAGCCAAACTAGACAAAAGTTCAGGAGAACCAGGAACAGATTTCCCCCACCCCTTTTCTACCACATAAAGTCATAGGGACCAGATCCAGACCAAGATCACAATTAAGGATGCCAGCCTATAGAAGGAGGCCTTCCAGCAATTCCTTTTGACACTTGCCAGTGCCTTGGGCATCAGCAGG